AAAAAATATGTAAAGGAAAAGGACTTATTCTTTGCCATAAAAGTGACAATACTGAACACACACACACACACAGGAGCCTGATAAAAATGCTCATTTTAGAGGAGTTTTTGCGTCTAAACTCTTCATATTAACCTGTTAATTAGGCAAGTCATCGAAACATAATTATTTAGTTCGTTACAGGTCTAATAATATTGCCCACAGCAGTTTTCAGAAATAAGGCTACAGAAGAAAAACTAAACAGAAGCACTGAGAATACAATTCTGCTCTAAACATCATGAAACATGCAGGGCTAATAGTGTTGTCTTCAACTATACACACACATACACATCTATATTCATTAACACACACACACAAAGGATTGTGATGTCATCTGACCTCTCACGAGGCATGAGTAGTGTGTGTGTGAGAGAGAGAGACACGGGGGCTACTCGTGCTCTTAGGGTTCACAGTTTATTGTCTTATTCCACAATCACAATTATTTATTCAACTGATTATCTTAGCTCATATGAAGTAACATTTATAAAATATAATATTAAAAAATACAAATATTAACTAAAATATTTCCATATTTTATATTTTCACAGTGCGACAGCACCGAGCCTTACATTAGACTTTTGCTAATTATTCAATCGTTTTCTTTTCTGCTTAGTCCCTGAATCAGGGGTTGCCACAGTGGAATGTACCACCAACTATTCCAGCATATGTTTTATGCAGTGGAGGCACTTCCAGCTGCAAACTATCTCTGGGAAATTTTGATAATTAGTGACTAACAATTTTATGTATAATTAAAGCGGTCATGATTGTGCAAACGTTTAGGATGTAAATAATCATAAAAGATGAAGAAAATAATAATGGGGTGACACAGGGGTGGCTCAGTGGTGTTGCACTGTGGCCTCACAGCAAGAAGGTCGCTGTTTTGAGTCTCGGCTGGGTCAGTTGGTGTTTCTGTGTGGAGTTTGCATGTTCTCCCCGTGTTGACGTGGGTTTCCTCCACACTGTCATGCGCTATAGGGGAACTGATCAACTAAACTGGATGAAGTCTAATGTAAGTTTCAGCAAAATGCACACACTGCAGGCTGTGCAGGGTTGCCATGTCCAGTTATTCTAAGCGTCTGTGGGCTTTTATTAGAGTTAATAAACTGGTCTGGATAACTGAATATCAGTAGTATTTTCAATATTAAGTATTGAATTTGTTTCCAGTGTGTAATGCACCTGTTCTTGTTTGTTGTTTGTTCCACCAAGATCTGGCAACCCGAGCGAGTCACTGTCCGTATCTGTTCCTCCTCTTTCTCGCCCAGTGATGATTTAATGTTTGTTAAATCATCGCTGAACTCGCGCTGTGAATGTCAGCCATGCGGAGTCTCTTTAATCTGTGTGTGTGTGTGTGTGTGTGTGTGTGTGTGTGTTTCAGCTCTGATCAGCCTGTCGTTTGGAGGAGCCATCGGCCTGATGTTCCTCATGCTGGGCTGTGCTTTACCTGTCTACAAGTGAGTCTGAAGGTTTACATTAGTGTGTGTGTGCGCTGTTAACACTGGTTTGTTTGTGTGTGGTGATTGTTATTAACACGGGTGTGTGTGGAGCATTATCTCTGATGTTTGTGTGTGGGGTGGCAGTTTGTTTGTAACACCGGTGTGTGTTGTGTTGTGTTAACACTAATGTGTGTGTGGAGTCGTTAACACTGGTGTTTGTGTTGTTTATACTGGAGTTTGTTTGTTTGTTTGGTTGGGGGGGGGTTGGACTGTTTTAACGCTGGTGTGTGTGTGTGCGTGTGCGCGCGTGTGTGTGTGTGTTTCTGCACGTGTGTGGTATTTGATTGTATTAACGTGTTCTTTGTTAATCATACTTTGTGTGTGTGTGTGTGTGTGTGTGTGTGTGTGTGTGTGTGTGTGTGTGTGTGTGTGTGTGTGTGTGTGTGTGTGTGTGTTTGTGTGTGTGTGTGTGTGTTTGTGTGTGTGTGTGTGTGTGTGTGTGTGTGTGTGTGTGTGTGTGTGTGTGTGTGTGTGTGTGTGTGTGTGTGTGTAGTGCGTACTGGCCGTTGTTCCTGCTCTTCTTCTACATCCTCTGTCCGCTCCCTCACTGCATCTCTCGGCGTGTGGTGGAGGACTCCGACTCGGCCAGTAATGCCTGTAAGGAGCTGGCGGTGTTCCTGACCACAGGCATCGTGGTGTCGGCGTTCGGCCTGCCCATCATCTTCGCCCGCGCTGCCGTGGTAAATATTACACA